TTAAATCCAAGCCTCAATAGTCATGGACATGTACTTGGCATTGAAAATGCTCAGGCATGGTCCCGTTACCAAACATATCACAGACCCGGTGTGAACTTTGGTTTTCCTGTCTGAAAATGGAGGTCCCCAAAGACCTTCCAGATCAGACCGCCTGTCAGCCTGATGGCGAGCCAGAGACAGGATTTAAGTCACAAGCAATCTGCATCAGGAAGATGCAGACTCCCCCAGGAATTGGCCTCGCAGAACACAGAGCAAACCGGGACATGGGGAGACCAGCAGGATGCCCGGCCAGAGGACAGGGCTGAGAGCACATGAGGGATGTGGCGGCGGAGGCAGATGCAGGACTGGGCTGCATGCATGCGCTGGGAACCATTTCCTGATACACACTGGTCTCCTGTCAGTTTCCCTGAGCCTCTGATCACAGAGACTCGGAGAATAGCCTCGTGGTAACTCATCCAGATGTCACAAAGCTCCCCATCGCTCTCTGATTGCAGCCACGGTGACTGTGTTCACCAGACCAGTCCAAGGGTGAAGAAAGAAATTCAAACGTGCCTGAGAGTTCCTGTGGATGACATATGGAAGTGACCAGATGCGGAGGGGACAGATATGAAAATGACCAGACAGGGAGTTGACTAGATATGGAGGTGACCAGATATGGAGGTGATCAATATGGAGTTTGACTTGATATGGAGGTGAACAGATTTGGAGGTTGACCAGATATAGTGGTGACCAGATGTGGAGGTGAACAGATTTGGAGGCTGACTAGATGTGGAGGTGACCAGATGTGGAGGTTGAACAAGTATGGAAATGACCAGATATGGCGGTGACCAGATGTGGAGCTGACTAGTTGTGGAGGTTAACCAGATGTGGAGGTGACCAGATGTGGGGTTGACTAGCTGTGGAGATTGACCAGATATGGAGGTGACCATGTGTGGAGGTGATGAGATATGGAAGTTGACCAGATGTGGAGGTGACCAGTTGGGAAGGGGACCAGATGTGGAGGTGACAGATACAGAGGTGGCCAGATATGGAGGTGATCAATATGGAGCTTGACTTGATATGGAGGTGAACACATTTGGAGGTTGACCAGATACAGTGGTGACCATATGTGGAAGTGACCATATGTGAAAGTGACTAGATGTGGAGGTTGAACAAGTATGGAAATAACCAGATATGGTAGTTGACCAGATATGGCGGTGACCAGATGTGGAATTGACTAGATGTGGAGGTGACCCTGTGTGGAGGTGATGAGATATGGAAGTTGACCAGATGTGGAGGTGACCAGTTGGGAAGGGGACCAGATGTGAAGGCTGACCAGATATGGAGATTGGTCACATATGAAGGTGACCAAAAATGCAGGGTGAGGGTTCTGGTTAAACTGACTGAACAGTGTTCTTGCTAAAATGGGGCAATGCAGACATGAACACAAAAGTTCCCAAATCAGACCTCTTTGAAAAAGGATTCAGGCGAGCCCAACAGAGTCTGGTTGAGGAGACAATCTTTGTCACTACAACTACTGCTATGACTAACCACGG